CCATACTATTAGTACATTAGACCCAGATAAACATGTACAGTGGTTGTCAGTTTTCTTGACCAGCAAAAGCAAGCATCATCTTCCAACACCAAAGTACTAATGCCAACAGACACCATCTGTTTATGACAACGGGCTGTGCTTTCTTATCTGAGACCCATTAACCTTAATAGTAATAATTCAGACAGCAAGCACAAAAATAGCCCTGCCTATTTCACTGTTATCTCGCTATTTGACTGTTATCTTAAAAGGAATGTGGCTGAATGTATCTCTCAAGTGGCAAAGAGGTAGAGCAGAGGAGAACTGTGAGATAAAAATGGTGAAGATCACATTAGAGACTGCAGTAAGAGTGATTTCTGGAGAAAGAAGTCATATATAGCTATGCTAGCTTTACGCTGCTTCTGCATTCCCCAGATACCTTAAGGGAAAGGTGGGGGGTGACCACGTAAGAACAAGGATGCACACACCGCCTTCGTGGCTTTCGTGCCTGGAGCCGTATGCAGCAAATTACTTATTGTAGGCAGACAGGAATCATGTTTAGAACAACACATGGTGTGTAACAATTCTTGAGTGCTGCGACCAGCTATATAGACTGTGCTGTTCTTAACAGCCAATACAAAGAAAATAAAATAATTACTAGGCATAATGATCATTAGTGTACAGATCTAAACCTGCCAGGCACAGGCTTACCAGGGCGTTAAGTTCCTAAAAGAGATAGTTAGCATGGATCAGCAAATGTGCTCCCTGCACACATTATGTGCACATTTTATGCTCACATTATTCCTTAAATACTAACGTCTTTTATGTGCTGTTGCCAGCTGCAAACTTTGAATCATGCATGATATAAAATACATAAGAATGGGTCCAAAAAAACCCCAATATATCAACACAACCCCATGAAGTCAGTGGATAAACACTAGGAGTCAGTAGTCTTTAGGTTAGCTGTTTAGAGGTGGGACTCAAGTAGACCCTAATAATTTAGCAGTGTGTGTGTGTTTCTGGAACTTTCATTTGGTCCTTCTTTATGGGGAGAATAAAGAAAAAAAAAAAAGCAAACAAGAAAACTACAATTCCTATACAGAAAACAACAATGAACATTGGAAATCCAGCTGGGAGAACAGAGAGATTTTAAATATGGGCCAGATGCTTATCAGATCCCCAAAGAATTTATAATAGAGCAGTTCTGTTGATTGCAGCAGATCTGCTTACATTCATCATTGAGTTTTCTGCACAATACTTTGGTTGTTCTTGATTTCTGTAGATTTTGTATTAAGGGAGTTAGTTACTGGCCAGAATGCTTGTCCAATAACACCTTATATGACTATATCAGAGTATTTTTAGAAAGTAAATTTGTAACTAAAAAAACTTTGATACTAACCATAGAAGCTAAAAGTTAGACTAACTTCTCTACTGGACATAAGCGATTTTGTATCAACTTTGTGTGCAATAGAAAGAACAAAGACAGATATGGACGTGAGTATTCTCACTAGAACTACCAAAGATTATCATCATCTACTGAAATTTTACGGCACATAATTTTGAATGTTGAATCTGATTTTAAAAGCCAAAAACTACTCCTTTGGAAATCTACAAAAGGGTCAAGTCATCATTAATGAGGAGAGGGGTATATACTATCCTTCCAAACAATGTTTGGAATAAGATCATTCTCTTAACACAACTTTGGTGGAGGCTGGTGAAAGGGCTGAGCTGAATTCATAGTAGTCTTGGCACCCTTTGCCAATGCCAAGATTTTTGTCGATGTGTCAGCAAAAGCAGATGTTAAGGAGACAGCATTTTATGGATCCTTGCAGGGAGCTCCTCCTATTACATGGGAAAGCCTGGGAAAAAGCCCAAACAGGTTTCTTTGAAAACATGTCAATGAAAGCTGCCATCATGGGCTATGAATGACAGGAAAAACAGATCATGTAGAGATAATGCAGAAAAATATGTGCAGTAGGGAAGGGGCCATGAAGGAGTCAGAGTAACAGAGGTTTTGTCAAAGTGGCAGACTAGGAAAACGCTCCGTACAGCAAAAGACTGGCAGGATATGAGCACAGTAGCTTGAATTTGTCAAGGGCTGTGAAAAGATGTTGCAAAACTGTTAACTGAGGAGAGCCTGGGCAGGAGATTTAGCTGTTTGAATGGCTAGAAAAAGCCCTTTGGGATGATGTGTGAAAAAGAATCTTCTAAAGACATAACCTAAATATACAGACCTAGAAAGAAGATTCTATGGCAAAAACCTTCTCCAGTTTGTTTCTGGTTTTAGGCTTGAATAAGAGGCGGGATGATAGTGCTGTCCTGAGCAATCAAAGGAAGAACTAGAAGGGAGTGCTTTACAGGAAAGATTTAAGAACTCAGTTTTAGCTGGGCAGAGCTGTCAGCTAAACATCGAAGAAGGTATCACAGCTAGAGGTCGACATTTCAGTCTAAATGGAAAAGCAGGTAAAGGGAATAAGATCTCTGAACTGTCAGCACTGCAGTGATTGCTGAACATGGATGAATGGTGTCACGGAGGAGGGGAAGAAATTACAGTGGGGAGAAAAAATGTTTCCCCAGAAACCTGGGATGGAGGGAATGAGACAGAAGGGCATGCTGGACAAGTGATTAGAGAAATCATAGTAAAATGACAGGAGTCGCCACGGGAGCCAAGGAAAGCACCAGATTTCCAGCCATGCGATTAAATGGGTCAAAGGCAGCTGATAGGTTGAAGAAGTTGAGAAGCGATTTCAGCAGAAAGAAAGTCTAGCCAGGTACTGTAGAGCTTTAAGATGAAAGGGAGAAGAGCTGCGGTGGTGCTTGAAGAGGCAGGTGGGCTAACAGGGAGAATCAAAAAGCGCGCTTATATTGTGAGAGAGAGAAGCTAGCCTTCGATAGATAAAAACTAGCATAGGAAAAAGCATATTCATAATTAAAGCTGAACTAACTAGTTTTAACATATAGTTTGCTCAGAAAAGGCAAGGTGTATTATAAGGTAGTAACATTCATTATATCTGTCAATATGATGTAAAATATACAACCTTTTTACTAGGTCTGCACATAAATCAACATATATTGCCCTTTATTTACAAGCTGTTTGTGAAGCAGTCACTAGCTGCTTGAATTTGTGTGATATTTATAAATTTTGTGCTGACAGATTCCTCTGGTGAAGTTTTAGCCTATGGATTGTACAGCAATTCAGCGCTACAGCTGCTGTTCATTCATCATATACAAGTGCCTGTCCTTAGCAGGAAGATCTCCAGGGATCTCCTCAAGATTCAGAGTAGCTTTGCCAATTCAAAAGCTTGTTTCCTTTGAGTCAGGACTGAACAAATGCGCTTTAATGATACTAAGCTTCATTGTGATCTGGAAATGCTATTCTTCAGATGGTCTGAGATCAGAGTCCTGAACTCTTGCTTTTCACTACCCCAGGAAATCAAGTTGCTTAAGAGAATGTAGTCCTAGCTGGAATCCCTAATCCAGCTATAGCCAGACTTTGGCAGTCGTGATCACAACTTTCCTATATGTAAGTCTGGATCCTAATTTTGTGGCCAGCCCTTTTCTTTAAACAGCATGCTAAGAATCCATATGCAAGCAATTCCCGATTTTATCTTATTTGGAAATCTCAGTGATACTTCTCACTTCGGTAAGCCCCATCCATCGGTCCCTCTATGGATTCTTACACTTGCTTAATTGCCTTTACTTACCTTTGTTTAACAGAACTGAGGTCATGCTGTAGGGGGAAGGTCGGGCTGTTGCGTGCTATCCGGGTGCCTGCCTTGCTGCGTAGCCCATCTGGACAGGCCTCTAGCTGGAAGAGTTTAATATTGAAGTCAATTCAAATAATACCAAGATAATAACAAGAAACAAACAGATAAAGTAAAAGAAAGAGCCTTATCAATAGTTATATTAAACTTGATTTGTCCCAAAAGAAAAGCAGATAATTAAAAATGAGTAAAGAACACAAGCCAGCATCTCTTAACGACTATTACGTTACTGTTTACGCTGCATGCATCTGTGGTTGTGACAAAACTATTGATATATTGCATCATGTAACTGTACAAATGCAATATATATTGAACAAACATTTCCTGAGTGTTTGCGAGTTTTGATGCGTACGTTCGACTTGCATTTTGGGGTTCTGATACAGCAGTTGTCTCCTCCCAGGGTAGAGAGCTTGACTCCTTCAGTGCATCGTTGAGGCTTAACCCCAGTAGGCCAGTGAGCACCACACTGCTGCTCGCTCACTCCCTCCCCCAGCGGGATGGGGAGGAGAATCAGAAGGGGAAAAGGGAAAAAACTCGTGGGTTGAGATAAAGACAGTTTAATAGGTAAAGCAAAAGCTGCACGCACAAGCAAAAGCGAAATAAAGAATTCATTCACCACTTACTTCCCATCGGCAGGCAGGTGTTCAGCCATCTCCAGGAAGGCAGGGCTAAAATACGTAAAATCAGTCAAGTTGTGCCACCTTCACTTTTATTTTATTAAAAAAAAAAAAAAAAAAAAAAAAAGAAGTTAGATGTTAGTCTGCATAAGATTTATGTTTCTGTAACAACATTAATATGACATGCCAGCTCTTTTATTCCCTGGTATAGTCGCAAACTATAAGGCACTGTAAATGTGTTATTTTTAAAAAGATACTGTTTGTTTGCTCTTAGCTTGTCAGTGTGTGTGCACACGAGGGAGTGACTCATTGGAATTTTACTTGCACTCTTGCACTAACACAAATGATCAAGGTGTCAAATGGAGACAGTCAGGTCCTGGCTCGAGATTTATGCTCAGACCTCCGCACTACATCCTCCTGAATTGCACTACAAAGGTCTCTGAATACCCTAGGTGACATTTTGGGGTTTCCTCTTGGAGATTTCTGTCTCCACAAATAATTGCTTCTGAACCTGGATAATTTATATTTAATTACTGACAAATGTGCATGCACTCAATCAGTAATTTGATTAGGAAAAAAACCAAAAAGTTAAAAGATACTGTGATCTGCATAGTAATAATGACGCACATTTCCCATCATTTAGGTCTGTAAGAGCTCCTGACATTTGAAGCTGTACTACCGAGTTGCCATGGCAACGAGAAAAAAGAAAACGTCAGATCTGAAGATTGCAGTTTACAGTTACTGTTCTTCACTACTAGGCCTCAGTTGCTCCAGATTCAGTTTAATTTGCAACCTCACTTAATCTGTCCGACTATACATTGGTGTTTGACAGCCTCTACCCTAACTCCCGTTTATTAATGGATTCCTCTTGCAAGACGCAAGGTTTATGCGAATTATCTCTGAATGTCAAAAGACCACGACATCTAAACTGGACCTTGGGGGAGCAGAAAACAGATTGACTCCATTTTTTTCTATCTGTTGACTTGTTGCTATTCAACTGTTCAGAAAATATTTTGTCTGTGGGTTAGTATTTGTATATGTATGAGTGTATGTATATATATATATTTATATAGAGAGAAGAGTTATACAACAGGTTTAGCTTTTATAAAATATTCATCTGGAGTGGGCAAGGGACAAAGCAGAATAACACAGCCACAGATGAATTGTAACTATTCTACCATGGCTAAACCTACTGTATTTGCTGTTTATAGTGTGGCCAGAAGGAGAGAGCCTAATCCAATCATACCACTACAACAGCCGCTTTGTCGACACAAATAAAGCAGGTCCGGGGCTCTGCGGCGTCACTTCTTGTACCTCAGGTTCGGCAAACAAGAAATGCAAGTCCCCCCGGCTCGTTTCTGATCTGAACTGCTTTCCTTATGCCCCAAATGGAATTTACAATCCAGCAGGAGCCCGGCGCTTGGCTCCCCATTTCAGCGGGAGCAGCGCCGGGAGGTTCCGCAAAGCTCGGATTTGCGAGAAAGCCGGGAGCAGCCAGCTGCGACCGACACTGCATGGGTCACCATTTCCAGCAGTGGAAGCGCTGGGCCTGATTTCAGAGGGGCTCAAGTCAGCTTCCTTTATGTTCCTGCAGATAATTATTTGCTGGGGCAGTCTGCAAAATTTCAGTCTTTCGTCAGCTCTGCAGACACAGTTAAGTAGGTAGAGGTCTGCGCAGGAGAAGCTGATTAGAACAGCAAAAGCAAAGTATTTCTTGGAAGCACTGGTCTCTCTCTCAGCCTCTCTGCAGTTGTCATGACATACATAAGCGCAAGGAGGAAAACAGATGCCCTGTTCTATAAATATATTCACACACACACATATATATAGTTTTGAATATATATATACATACATACACATGTACACAGAGTTTCCAGTTAAGAGTAACAAGAGCATTTCTTTGTGTGTGTAAACTTACCACACTTGTTTGCAGACATGGAAAAAAAAGGGTGTTCGTTACATATCAATATCAATCCTTTTTTACTCTGTGAGCATGTAAGGTTAAAAAAAAAAACCTTTCTAACTGTTTCAAGATGATCATCTTGTTAATAAATTGTAAATGATCCATCAAAGCTCACACCAAATTTTTATAAAAGTAACACAAAAGTATACTAGTGACAGACTGTGGCTTTTATTAGAGCTTGCCAGTAACTAGGGTAAGGTAAGTGTCTTAGAATATTTTAATAAACTTGCTTATTTAAAGTTTAAACAAGAAAGCTTCCTTATGCAATAGAACTTTGCAGCTGCATTCTTTAGTTAGCATTTTTACAGTACTTATGAGTCATACCGTACGTCTATATGTCTACAGTGAGATTATGAGCATATCTTCCACGCCACATATATGTTTCAATGGTAAAGCTTTTTGGAAGCATTAAAAAGTCCAAACATACATTAAGTTTTCCATAATGCTACACTAGATATTAAATGTGTGTTGGTAGTTAAAAATTGCTGTACAATAGCTTTTCTCTGACTTCCTGTATTGTACCAAATATGAAACAGGTCTTTTTTTTTTTTTTTTTAATCAAAAGGAGTAATAACAACAGCAACAGAGGAAAAATTAGTTTGTGTAGTGAACTTTCCTAATGTTGTAGATTTCTTGGTAAGATACAAGCTGCCTTCAGACAGGAACCCATTTTTCTTTTCCAGCTTAACTCCTGCAGTCCTGACCAAGTAAAATCTCCCACTGCCCTTCTTTCTCTCGCAGCACGCTCTAGGTATTTCAATTACCAAAGTGGTACTTTGAGGTGAGTGGGAGTTTCTGTTGAGCAAGGGCTTCAGGAGTGGGCTGTTAGGCAGCTGCAGGCATTTCAGCAGGAAAGTGCCTGATCTCAAACATTAACGTGGGCATGCTTCTGGTTCTCTTTCTCTGCCCATGCCTTGTAAAAATCCTATGCTGCTGCTTTATCATCAACAATCATGTCTTTAAAAAATATATATATATAATTTTCAGGCAAATTTTTCAAAAGGAAAAAAAAAATCAACAAATGCATAACACCACTGGATTTTCAACATGTATATTTAATGAACACATCCAAATGCACCCAAAGATAAACCGCACCCTATGCTTTGATCTACAAAGCCTCTATCATGAATAAAAGAAATTATAATATCCTCCCCAAAAAATACTCTTTTTCTACTTTCTTTCTTCCTCTCTCTATCCAGCAAAACCCACCTGTAGAAAGATACCCACTGACATTAGTGTCATTTCTATCAAGTACCAGATAAAGCTACCCTTTTCTCCTTTAAACCAAGGCTCACATATCACTGAGTGGATCATTCCAAGGGCATCCAAAATGAGGAACAAAGAAAAATCTTTTCTGCCTGGAACTACACTAACAATGGGAAGAGTCTTTCTACCACTTTGTGCCCAAGGACAAGAGATCTTCTTGGATAATACTGCAACCTTTTGACATGTAGAGAGGTCAGCATCATGGCTGAAACTCTGAATCAAGACACGTCAAAGCCTTTATTCACCATTATCACTTCACTTCTGCACCTAGATTAAAGCCTCCCCAGCCTTTACTGCGTGTCTCTAGGCTTCAGACGGAGCTAATCACTGGCCCACCTAAGCATGCAAAGAGAAGATGAAGCTGCCATGTTAATGTTTCTCCCTCTCTGTACCTGAGAACAAACCCCATTTAACATGAGATTGTGGCACTTTCTGTAGCGTTATACAAGTGAGAAACCGTATTAGAATCTGAGTTTTCCTACCTGAATAAGATTGTCGACTCTGGCTCAAAAAATGATGCCCATTTCCTGAAACAAAGGAGCAACAATCACTTGTTAGTTTTTCTACAATATCGTGACAAAAGTAGAGAAGTTACAAAATTGGTTGTCATTTTTTTAATAGTTAATTATGTTTAACATTTGTTCAGCCAAGCTTGCTGTTTTTATAACATAGCACACTTCTACCTAGCTATTTTGGTCACTACAAACTGTTTATTTCAGTCTATGTTTATAGATATATAAAGCTGTCTAGAGTCAGAAAGGCAGTGAACTTGTTGATTTTAATTTTGTGACATGCACAAAACTTCTTGTGCAAAAATCATTTCACTTGAAAAAAGTATCTGCTGTTAAAACAAACACAATTTAGGTATAACAATCAGTGAGAGGAGTTTATTAGCAAGACCAAGGTCTCATTTGTGGTGTACTTGCTAATTGAGCCCTTGTCTGTACACCTCATGTGTGTGCTTTTACAGTATGCCTTTGTGCATTTATTAATGTACTTTTCGTTCAGTAACTGTAGGTCTGAAGATTAAAACAAAGGGAAATGAGCTGAATTTCCTACTGGGTATCGAGGAAAATTAGGTAAGAGTGGAACACTGGCTAATACACTTTCTGAGCCCTGTTCTCATCACATTTACACTGGTGTAGATCGAAAAGCAACTCCATTACTAGAATTGTTTGAGATTCAGTTAATCATATTTAGACGAAATTTTTCATCTAAACCTCTCCACATTTTGCTTTTACTGGTCTGCTGTGAACAGTAAAGCAGCAATATTTGTCACAGGATTGTTGAGTGCTTATATGTTATCAAAAGTCTGTCTTCTGTGGCATACAGAGAAACCTACAGCTTAGGTGCCTCCCACAGATGACGTGACTTCCTCTGCTGACCACTTTAACATGTCTCTAAGGCACCCAGCATAATTTGGTTTATTTGAAATGGCTGTGGCCTGTAGTCAAATAATTCATCCTGGTCTCATGCATAGTCATTTAAGTTAAGGATTACCATAATACAAACCTCATTTATTAAATTATGGACTTACAATCACTTTGTAGGGCCCTAGCTTAAATGTTTTATCACTACAAAAAAGACAGACATATGTTATATTAACAACTTTTACATCATTGGTCTTTCCTTTGCAAAGACCTCCTGTCTGAAATACTGAGAAAGCTGCCAATTTTCTTCTCAATTGCTACGAATACACTCAGCCACTTGAAACATAGCAGAATTTTGTACACAAATACTTTTACATCACTCTTTTTCTAAATGATAAGTTTCTTTCTGAATGGATTTAATAATGTCTTAATTAATTAAAAAAAAACCCACAAGATAAATCATATTAAAGTCACATCAGCTTGAGAACACCAAGTAAGTCTAAGGAAAAAACTCTGATCCTATCTTCCTTTTATTGCATCTCTAGAAACTCTGTTGTCTGAGAGGTACACTGTCCAACGCTAACAAAAAGAAAAATAACTAAAATAGCAATTATTTTCTTTCAATTAACTCTGTGATCTAGAATCTGTAGAATTATCATGCAAAATACATTAGTAATTATCATAACTATTCTATTTAAAGCAGATATAGCTGACTAATTTACTATGTAAAACACATAACCCATTGACTACACTGTTCTCTTGCCTCACATCAAGATATGCTAGTTGATTTATATTTGTCCAAATGAAACGGATACACTCATACGCTCTCAGTGGAAAGTTACTAGTTGCACAATTGCTATGTGTGTGTATATATGTAGATATATAGAGATATACACATACACATATAAATATATATGTATATAATATATGCAGATGGAGGGAGACTAATACAACGTGGGGACTTGGAATAAGCAGTTTAATTCCATGAATTATGGATGAACACATGAGTTAAGGGACAGCACAGGTTACGTATGCCAAACTAGTCTGATTTACATAGAAGAAAAAAGGCAAAAACCCCACACACTAAAATCCAGGCTTATCCCAACTCTCATGTTGTATTTATGCTACCTTTAGCTGTCCCCTCTTAACGCAATTATATCATTTGAAGATATGCATAATTGTCTACTGACTCATTTTTAGTTGTCTATGTGTCAGCAGGTCACCAGTAGTGGAAAAGGAAGGGTTTATAGCCAGAATTCTGCATTACTGTGCTTTCAGTGGGACAGCTTTTTGGAAGTTTCATCCACCCTTTGAACATTACACTCCTCCTCCGCATCAGCAAATGACTGTATTTGATGGCTTGGGGTTAATGAATGTAGCCTAAAGACAGACTATGTGTATGTACATGCGTATGTACACACGCTGCCTGGGATTGTAGAATAAGAGCACGTCTGGTGGACTGTGATGGTGAATTCAGTACAAACAAGCTGTGGTGTTACTGCCATTTCAGACAGAACCCTCCTGTAAAATCACATTTGCCCCATGACAGACTCTGTCTCTTTAAGTTACCACCAGGATATTTTTTTATGATTTTTCGTTCTTTTTCTAAAGTTCAAGCAAGGAGGAAAATATTTTGTTTGATTTTAAAGATACTTAATTCAGCTACTTTTCCAGTTAATCGTTCCTTTGGGCCCTAGTTGCTGAATTGCTTGCTGTTTCTGAGGTGTAAATAAACGTTTTGATTTATGACGTGGTTGCAAAGAAACTTGTAATTTATTTGTGAAATGCTCAAATAAAGGATGTATGGGCTTTTACCTTTTGTCTGGTGTAGACCTTCCTGATGCAATACAGCAGGAGAAGAAGACTACAAAATGACCTTGAGACTGCCAAAGGGCTGGAATAGCCTGAGCTAAATACAAGAAACTCCCACGTTGCTCTAAGTAAAAAGAGATAAATTGCAGTCTTCATCATCACCGTGCCGTGGTTATAGAATGAGAATCTGGAAGTTAGAGAGGCAAATAAGGTTTGACCACACAAGAAAGCAGTAGCAGATTATTTAGCACCCCTTCACGTGGCAGCAACGATTTGCCTTCTAAAGCCCCCCTTTCTTTACAAAGAGTTGCATTGAGCCAAACCTGGCTCAGATGTCCCTGGGCTGGACTGGGTGCAGGAGCTTTAATGGATTTTTGTTGCACTTCCTTTCTCCTTCACCTGGCCACCTTCCTCACCTACCGCCATCCGTTCAGCTTATATAGAACAGACGGCCACAAAAAGTGAACGTTGTGAACGACGCAGAAACAGGCTGAACAAACGTCAATCAGCAAGGACCACCGTGGGATGCTACAGGACTGCGTTTCTGTCCCTGCTGTCATGGCCAATTACAAGATGGCTTTTAACAGCTAGTACTGCCATAGTCTGTAGTCGCGTCTGATGCGCTCCCGCCCTGCGCTTAACTCCTCCTTAAGATGTGTAGGCAGATGCGGTCTGCTTGTTGCCCTGATTCAGAAAATCTTACTCCAAAATTTAGAGCCCTTCTCGCCTTCAAGCCCAAACTGCTCTGGGCCAGGTTACCCCAAAAAAGTTTCCACTGCTTTAATGCCCTTCTGTACCAGGAACTGCAGACTTCATTGACAAGGCTTATCGCTTTAGCATGCTGGAATTCAGGTTTGTAAGATACTATTTTCTTTTTTTACTAAGCTCTCATAATCTGTGATTATGAGGAGAAAGGAAGTGGGGTATGCTTTCCCTGTGCTGCCAGCTGCTCCCGGACATTGCAGAAGGGCCCAGTAGGTGACATAAATAAAAAAATAATAATTCTGGCCCAGAATCCAGGGCAGAAAAAAGAA